CTGGAAGGGTAAGTTCGAAAGTTCAGGTGCATCAATCTAAGCCTTTAAAAATCAATAAAATTGAACTAAAGAGCTTTCCAATAATGGACTGTCTCCTTAGATTTCTGGCTCATCTGCTTGTGTTTGTATGAAAAATAATGTAACAAACTGGGGTTTGTTTGAGTGTGGCTATAGGGGCTATGCAATTACCAATCTCCCATCACATGACGGGAGGTATGCAAACATCTGTCGGTGCTTCTGGGAAGTAAAGATAGGAGGACTAGAATAAATTTGTTCATGTAAAATACTCCTCATGACAGTCTCATTCTTCAGAAGCAAAATTCTACTCCGTATTTTTATTTTTTCATGATCCAAAGTAATTATTTTGTGTTCAGACAAAGATACAGGGAAGAAGCAGGTTTTGTTGGAGCTACTTTGCTATAGAGTTCTTCTGCATTATAATCCCATAAAAGTGAGGTTACATTAAGATGTTTATAGGAGAGGGCTGGATTGAAATCATCTTTAGTTGTCAGTACTGGGTCCAGCTCTATACAGTATATTCATCAATGACCTGGACGATGGGACAGAGTGTACCCTCCAGCAAGTTTGCTGAGGATACAAAGCTGGGAGGAGTGGCTGACACAGAAGAAGGCTGTGCTGCCATTCCGTGTGACATGGACAGGCTGGAGAGTTGGGCGGGGAGAAACTCAATGAAATTCAACAAGGGCAAGTGTATAGTACTGCATCTGAAGAAGAACAGCCCCATATATCAGGACAGGATGAGGGCTGACCTGCTGGAGAGCAGCTCAAGGGAAAAGGACCAGAGAGTCCTGACCATGAGCCAGCAATGTGCCCTTGTGGCCAAGAAGGCCAATGGCATCCTGGGTTGCATTAATAAGAGTGTGGCCAGTAGGTCAAAGGACGTTATACTTCTCCTCTACTCTGCCCTGGTGAGACCACATCTGGAATACTGTGTCCAATTCTGGGATCCCCAGTTTCAGGAAGAACACGGAAGTACTGGAGAGAGTCCAGCATAGAGACACTAAGATGACGGGGAGACTGGAGCATCTCCCATATGAGGAAAAGCTGAGAGACCTGTGTCTGTTTAGCCTGGAGGAGAGGAGACTGAGGGGGGATCTCGTAAATGTTTATAAATATCTAAAGGTGGAGATCAGGAGAATGAGACCAGACTCTTCTCGGTTGGGCCCAGCAACAGGACAAGGGGCAGTGACCACAAACTGAAGCGTAGGAGGTTCAACCTAAACATGAGGAAAAACTTTTTCACTGTGAGGGTGACAGAGCACTGGACCAGGCTGCCCAGAGAGGCTGTGGAGTCTCCTTCTCTGGAGACATTCAAGACCCGCCTGAACATCTTCCTGTGTGGTCTTCTCTGGGTGATCCTACTCTGGGAGGGAGGGTTGCACTAGATGAACTTCAGAGGTCTCTTCCAACCCCTATCATTCTGTGATTCTGTGTTTGACAAATGTGGGTATATATCTACATCTGAGCTGGTCACTCCAGGTCCCATTTGCAGACAGTAGAAAGAATGAGGTATTTTTAATGATGTGATACGTCTCTCCCTAGATGTCTAAAATCAGTCGGATGAATCATGCCCTAGAGTTAGATGAGATGAATTTCATTTCAAGTGTTTAATACTGTTCTGGCTTAATAGTTTGAAAGAATTTTTCTCATAGACCCAGAAGTGTTCAGCAAAAGTGCAGACACACATCCACATTATTTAATCAAATGAATAGCAGTCTTGGACCACTTTCTTATGAAACCAGGCAATTCAGACTTTATATAGCGACACTTCCAACATTCTGTGAATGTTCTGACAAAAGGAAATCACAGGCTGTGATGATCTCCTGTTAATACAGGACCTAATCTTCAGAGGTGGTTTGTGTCCTCAGCTTCAAAGAGCACACACTGCTCTTAAAGACTCCTGTGTATTTTGCAGGATTAGACATCAGGAACTCAATCCCTATGTGTACAACACCATGTTTTCATGGAATCACACACATACTAGTGAGCCTTGAGTTGTCCTGTCTGTGCTTGGGAGAGAACTGTACATAAATTACACAGATTTGATTTGGCTGTAGTCTTTTTAATATTGCACTTGTGCAAGGAGAGCTGTTTCTCCCTGAGAATATCCCCCATTTTAAGGCCCACACTGAGAATGCACCATCTTGTGTTAAACCTGAGAGAGCTGAAGTGTGAAGTGGAGGCTTGACTGTAGAATCACGGCGAGTGGGAACTGCTCATCTATCACTTAAGGTGTCTTAAGGGAAGTTATGATCGAGGAGTGGTTGAAAGAGGTCAAATGTCTCAGTTCTTCTAAAACTGGAAGAGAATCTGTTTCATTAGGACATACTGTGTGTCACACAGTTTTCCAGGTGTATTTGAGCTAACTGAAATCCGTAGTTTACTTGTGCAGAAACAAGTTTTTGGTATCTGCACTTATATGTATACGATAAACTTTTTGCTTACAATACTTTGCTTTGGTCACCATGTTCCGAAAAGAGAAACAAATTACCATTGAAATTATGGTACGTATTAGACTGTTTTAAATGTAACAGTTTGGAGCTTTGTTTTATTTGCTTTCTGAGACTTTGACTTTCCAGCTTTTTTCTGCAAGCCAGAGAAACAGACATTTTCATACAGATTCAGGAGAATATGTTTACAGAAAAACACCAAATATCTCAAGGCTCAAGTTACAATGGTTGAAGCACTCAATTTTCAAAACCTATTTAAATTCCTGCAAGAGATCCTTCTTTGGGTGGACAGGAATTAAATAAATGTCTAGTTTTGCAATCTTCCTCAGTATACTAGTAGGGAGATTGTAATACTTTTACATTCTTTTAGAGAATTAAACTGAAGATGATCTGTCAAAATGAAGTAGGTCTATTACACCTTTTCTTGTCATGCACTCCTTGACACTAGGTCATGTGTCTCTGTGGTACCTTGTAGAGAACAGCTTTATTAATACTAATGTGAGTTTCAAGGGAATGCCATGGATTGTCAGGACTTGCCTACAGAAAAAAAAAGAGATCAATTCAAATTCATATTTCTTGAATCTCTTATTGGATAGTAAATAGACTGTTTAGAGTGGAAGTGCAACATTAGAATAATTTTATTGAAACTCTGGCTGTAAATCTTTGATGTGGACAAAGTAACCTTGAACAATTTCACAATTTTGCCCTGCACAGTTGTGAAACAAGCCTGAAAATGCATGTTAGCTGAGGCAATGCAGTAATGCAGATTTGTAGCTTATGTACTTATAACCATACAGACAGTCATAAAGCAATTCTTCTCCCAAGTCTGAATATTTTAAAACTTTTGTGACAGCTATGAAATCCTGCTGCAGTAGGATGAATAAAAAGTTGATTTGCTTGTAGTTTACCAGTAGTATTCTTGGCCTGCCAGGATAAGCAGTTTTTTAGTGTATTGCCACAGTTGCACTGAACACGTTAGATCCTTTCCATATATTTTTTGACTGGGGAAGGATGACTCTGAAGTACAAATCAGTTTGAATCAGCTAAAAAAACTGTTAGAGTTGGATAACAAAGTAAGCTATTCATTTATTGCTTCATGACAAAGATGCAGTCATAGGTTAGAGATGTGAAAATTTGTGGAGCCACATTTGGAGATCTCAGCGCCCCTTTCTGCTGCACTCTGACGAGCTGTAGGGCTTTAGTCCAAATGACTTGTCTGTCAGCTACGCAGAGGCTTACTTGAATTACAGCCTCACAAAAGGTTTAAGTGTGTTCAGAGAAGAGCTATGTCCTGCATACAGCAGAATGCAGTGTGTCACATAAGAGGGAAATAAAATAGGCAAAACACCCAAGTAGAAAATACAAGGGAGACTATAGAATATTTAACCACCTATTATAATTTCAGAAATAATTGTTACTTGCCATTGAATTCCAAAGAATGAGGTGGAGTTTTTTCTAAAAAAGAAAACAAAAGAGAAAAAGCTATGGAAAACATCATATTCTCTGTTAAAATCTGCAGACTTTACATTTAAACAGAATATAGTTCTGTGATGCAGAACCCTATTAAATTACATTTATTTCTTGATTCTCTGAGACTTTAAATGTGGCTGTATATTGCAGCTGTTATTCCTGTTAATGGTACCTACTAAAGTGATTAATAAAGATTGCCATGCATCATTTTCTAACAGGGCTACAGGCAGTATTGTAAATCGTTTACTGCATAGACCTCTCAAACAAATGTTTGACAAAGGAGGGGAGGATGTTAAAGATTAAATTGACTGTGCTATACATCAAGCAAGACATTTACAGTCATTGCTGTATTTGTAGTCAGCCCATGTCCGCTTTGAAACCTACAGTAGTAATTTTTCTTTATCCAGAAAATACTTACAGTGCCAGGCAATTTCAGTGATGCTTACTATGAGCTCTTCTTGGCTCTTACTAAAGTGTGAGAGCAGTAAGATTCCTTCTTTCATTACTTTCAGAGATATATTCTGTGACAGGTTGATTTCTTCCTTTATAAATTGTAAATAAAATATGTATGCTCCAAAAATAAAGTAGTTTTTGAATATTATAAGGGTCCTGAAATAAACAAGAACTGCCAAAATTCAGAAGGTGATGGGTAGGAAAGTGCTGACTTTTTTTTGTTAAAATCATCACCTGCACATATTTAGTAAATGAATTGGATAAGCAAAACAAGACACTCCAGTCCACTCCCAGCAACTGGCTTTCACTCTGTTCAAGCTCTGGCTGCAAATCAACAGAAGCAAGGGCAGGAGTGCTTTTTTCCTTGCACTTAAAGACTACTTTCATAGCAGTCACACACAGATGTCCAAGGCTAGAAGCTGACCCCGCATCTACCAAGTTCCCCATTGCAACCAAGAAAAGGCTAACTGTTGTGAAAGTTGTATATTCCTGAGAACTCATGCATTAAGCATCAATAGTTGTATCCTGTTTTGCAGTATTGTAGACAGTGTTTGCAAGTCTTTTAAGATTAGGGAAATCAAAACAGATTTATTTAGAAACTTTTAGAAGTTACCTAGAAGTTTTAGCTAAACCCCATGGAATGCAAGAAGTTCCTTTGACATTGACAAGCTTCAAACTAAGCCCTTGACATGCTCAGCTTGATAGACGTTAAGAATTTTGGGGGATTTTGAAGAACCATAGTGCAATTCTGTCACACACGTATTTTAAGCAAATTTAAATCTCAGTATTCATCTGTCCCTTCAAATTACTTTCCTTATGAAGTTAGTGGTAGTTCTGGATTCACCTGTTCTTGGTCAAGATATCCATACTGATAAAAGATATTTAGGAAAGAGCTGACACTTGCATTCAAAATAATTTTATCCAAATTATGCTCTTCCCAGATACCAAAGGACATGGATGTTTTGCCCAATTTATAAATTGCAACTGATTATTTAGAATATTAAGCTGCTTCTTTCTTCAATTAGGTAGTGTCAAGAAATACTTTATTGTTGATTTTCAAAATTTCTTCACTTTGAGTACTTAGTGTCCAGAGCAAGTAATCCACTTCCAGATGCAATGAGACTTGTGTAGTCACATCCAGAAGAAAGGAGGACAGGTTTTGGCAGCCTGGTCAAGGTGCACAGTGGGATGCGAGATCAAAGAGATGTTGTGAGGAACATGGGAACAGAGCAAGTTTGCCTATGCTGTACGGTCAGGCTGGCAGAGTGTCCTGTGCAGTGTGAGGATGAAAAGCCCAGCTGTCACTCTCTAGCCCAGGAATGGCTTTTTCTTATTTTATCTCCTAGGGAACTCTGTCTCCTTAAATTTTCTTCTCATGGATGTGTTGAGGCAAAAAGAGTGCATAGCTTCAAGTCATTTGTTTTCTCATATCTCTAAATCTCCTGCACAGGAGGCTTTATGAGAAAATGAAAGGCCTGAGAGTCACACCACCAAATATAAAGCAATTATTGTTCATAGCAGTTGGCTTTTATAATACATTGCCATGGGTTTTAGGACAAACTTTGAAGAAGAACCATAACAGTTTTGCCAAGTATTTATCCTCTGTGAAGGTTTTTGGTTTTTTTAATTTATTCTTATTAAGCCATTCTTTGTACTGAAGCATGAGATCAATAATTGTCTTTCATTACTCTAGTATTGCTGAAGATGATGCTCTACACTCTGTATCCCTGACAGTATTTTAACTTCTTGCAGGAGGACTCTGCCCAGGGTCTAACGATCCCTGTCTGGAGAAGCCATGTCCAGGGGACATGCAGTGTGTGGGGTATGAAGCTAACCGGAGACCATTCATCTGTCAGTGCCCACCAGGAAAGCTTGGCGAGTGCTCAGGTGCATGTCACAGCGGTAAAGAGGAATATACTTGAACAACAAAGTGCTGCCATTCTCATTCTGTAGGTAGAGGTGCTACTGAAGTCAACAGAAGTGTACTGCTTAACCCTTCTCAGCGCTGGCACTTGGCGCATCTGTTTAAAGCCCTGTAAAATATTTGGCTATGGGACTGTACGAAGACCATGATCCAGTTTCCATTGGGAAATTCCCACTGGCTCAGTTGAATCCCACATCGGTAAAGCAGGCTGCTGAGAAAACAAGACTTTTCCTAGAGACTGTTATGCCAGATGTTTTCCTGCCATGGGCACAGCTCTATAATTAACTCTTCTGCTTACAACAGACATTCCAGTCTTTATTAATGAAAACACTACACCACCCCAAGAAGAAAGTTTCAGGACATTTGTTAGTTCTCTGCAGCTGTGTTGTTCCTTGGGATACAAAGAGCCAGATGGAAAGTCGATGAAGTGGAGCTTTCTGTTGACTTCAGGGCTACATGTCAGAGGACCTGTGCTATTCCCCTGATGAAAACACAGCAGATACTGACCTGTATCACTGAGGTCCTGGGTAGTGGTTGCAAGGAACTCATTGCAAGGATTTGTCTGGCATCTGTCCACACCTCACTTTGTACCCATATCTCAACTTCCTGATGTACAAACATGGTCGTCTTTGACTCCCTCTGTTGTCAGTGAGGCAAGATAGGTGCCTCCAGGGATGTATAACATTAAAAATGCTGAATACTTGGAGAAACCTCTCTTCTTTATAGGTATGGAGAAATAGAGGTTTCCTCCATCCCCTGAAAAATAAATTACAAAAAAATACAATATGTTTTTATAGTAGGTGCCAGCTTTTTTTTCATCAAAGTTGGGTTTTATTTATTTCTTCCTAGACATTCTTCTTAGCTCTGTAACTTTTTTTATTAACTTGACAGTTGAGGAATTATTTCATGTGTCACTAAAAGAACATGTGTCTTTTCAAAATGGTTATTTCAGGCCATACTTCCCTTAGCTTTGCTGGGAATAGCTACATTAAATACCGTGTTTCTGAAAACAGCAAGAAAGAGGAATTCAAGTTGGCTCTCCGTCTGCGAACCCTGCAAAGCAATGGGATTATAATGTACACCAGAGCAAATCCCTGTATAATTCTGAAGGTAATTAAAATAACTTATCTTTTCTGCAGTTGTTTTTCTTGATTATATGTTTTCTGTTGGCTCTTGATTTGGGGAATGCTGTTCTCATTTCAGCTGTAGATTGAGAAGATGAAGTCTGATCTGTTTCATGCTAACAGGGAAAAACAGCAATTTCGACAATGGCAGCAACAACAACAATCAAAAAAAGCAGCTTGTTAGTGGTGCTTTACTTGAAAAATGCTCCATTGGGTGCTGTTCATTATAAGAACACTACATAGGAGCAAATCTGCATGAGATGTAAGATTTGGCCATTTAAATGACCATATAGTCAAAACGATGCATGTAGAAATAGCTGTTCTTCCCCTGTGTCCATCCCTGTGGTTAGAAGATATGCCTTCACTGCTGTCAAGTTAATTTCAGAAACCAACTGCTTAGAACGTGTCTCCTGCTGAATGTGAAGATTGCTGCACTCCATGAATTAAGATTATTTGTTGACAGAGGCTTGGGGTAGCTGGAGATTGATATCCAATCCATATTTCATTGATAAGCTCTCCATGGATTTTTGTTCTTTCTTGGATTTCTATGGAATGGCAAATATCTACTGGACGGAAAGGGAGTGCTAGGCTCATCCAAGAGCCTAAATGTATAATATTTCTGCTAGAGCCTCTAAGGCACAATGTGAAGACACTAACTTCTGTAACAAAGCCGTATCCTGTAATTCAGCAGTGGGAGAAATGGCACAGAGCCTTTTGTGTCTGTATTTGCAATCTTTAGATTACTGTTGGCTGAATGCTTAGGTGATATTAAAATGGCTAGATGAGCTATTAACTGGCAACAAATAATTTTACAGCTGTTAGACTAAAATATTTTGTGAGCAGGAGTGCTGTCTGTCATTCACTGGGGACTCTCAACGTTCAGATTTCTACAAGACAATTAAGCTCTACTTAAAACACAACTTTTCAGTATACTTCTTTGTTCAATGAAAACAAAACTGCAGGCTTGAAGACCTTTGAAGTCTTCATCATGGTTACTCTTAGCATATATCAGTAGAGAATGTTTGCGGTTTTGTAGTTTTGAAAAATGCTTGGAAAAAAACTAACATGGCCCTGCTGAAAGGTGCCACTTGAAAACGATAGGAAATGATACAGAGGTAGACTGAAATGAGGGCAGGATGATAGAATAATTTTGTTAGAATTTAGTGTATAAAACTATCATTATTAAGGAGTACAACAGGTCAGGTCATAGGCAACTGAGTGGAAGTCTTCACTGAAGTGAAGAAATTTTGCTGCCAAAAGAGAAAAAAGCATGCTACTACAAAACAGGAAATAAGAGAGGCCCTCATTACAGTCACCTGGGTTGAGTTTTTAGTTATGAGATAGGAATTAGATGTTTTCAGTCACCGCTTCACACAGTCACCTAACCATTTTTCTTTGGAAGATACTGAGAGGGAAAAATGATACTTGAAGGAGCAGCGACAAGAACTGTGGCTACACTGCTCCCATCTCAGAGGCCAACCTCCAGGCCACCCTCTTCTTTGCTTCCTAGCTCCAAGAAAGGATTTTCAGCTCTGAACCCACCTCATGAAGCACTCAGTAGAGAGCTTCAGACACAGCTGCTACTTCACGGCTCTGATGAGAGAGGTCCAGGGTCTTGTATGCGGTGTCATGGATGCAAGGGCTCCACTTTCTCCCATGCATTGGACAGGGAAGGACACAGAGAATTCCTTTCCTGGAGCCTCATGCTTAGCTTTTAGGTACCAAGGGGATTTGCTGTTGCAGTGGGTACACCCTTTTCCCAGGTTTGTCCCTTGGCCTCTATAAGCGTAGGTCTTAAAGAAAAGTAAAGCATTACATTCATTTGGGGTTGTTTTTGTTTTTGTTTCTGTTTCAGAAATGGCATCACTTAAAAGACCAGGAGTTGCTAGAGTTTTGTTTGTGAAGGTCGTTTAGCAGAGGAACATCAGATAAGGCCTCACAAAGTGCTCTATGGCAGATGAATGTCATTATGCTCAAGGGATGTAGCCATAGCAGGGCTCTTCAGAGATGAAAGCTGACTCATGAACTGCACTTTGAGGATCCCTAACTGAGATGCTTTCAAACAAGTTACTCTTAGATTTTCTAAGCATACTTTTTTTCATTTGTAAACCAGTGGTAATGCCTTTTTAGTTTGGTTGTTTTTTTTTAAACCAGGTATGTATGTTGTAAGATAGGGAAGTGCTCAGAAGTGAGGCCTTTAAGTAGATTAATTAGAGGTCTATAAATGTGAAGTTGTTATCATTTGTGCATTGCTTTCCATTAAATTAAACATGAGGAGAAGCTTTCCAAATAGAGAATAAAGAATGGGATCTTGTGCTCTTTTGAGCACTCTGGCATCACTCCAGCAAAGCACTTAATCACTTGCTTAACTTCCTGTATTTGAAGGCAATTGGAACTACTCGCATACCTTAATTTTAAGCATGCACTTAAGTATCTGCCGGATTAGCACCAGAGGGCCCAGCACCATCACTGAGCTCTAAACAAAGGCAGAAGTGGAAGAAATACAGACCCACCACATAGTACGAGCCCATAGGAGGATGCAGGAAACACCACTGCTGCTGGGGCACACAGTGGCATTGATTTTTTTGAAGTCTCCCCCATTGCAATCTGTTTAACAATTAAAGTTGCAATAGGGTTTTCAGTGTTTGAATGACCAGCTTAATTTTGGGAACTCATACATTTGTGATAACTCCAGGGATGGAGATATTTTATAATAGTAACTCAGTGTCCTCCTTGGATGAATAATCAATCCCATAGAGCAAACTGCTTGTCTGCTACTTTGCTGAAAGCCTACCAGGTACACTATGTTGATACAATATAATAAGGGTGTTATTTATTCAGCTGTTTCAAATAAAGCAAGTCATCCATCGATTTTGAGAGGTTAGCCATTTTTTTAGTTGTGTATTCTTGCTTTTAAGGCAATTGGAGTAAAAGCAGATGCAGGTCGATGTCCGCCTTTATTTTCCTTTGAAAAGACTGCATATGCCAAAAATGGTATCACCATTTCCTTTTTCCTGTGTAGCATCTACCTGGGAAAAGTAAGATTTAACAATTTAAAGCATTACAAGAGCATTGCAGAAGAAAATTTCATAATTTTATTTTTTTTTCAATGAGTATAATGGAGATTCAGCTTGTTTTGTGATATTTAAAGGGTCAACAATAGGTAAAGAAAGACTTTGCTATCATGTCAGAAATATGGCTATTAAACAGTAAAAGGCAAGCGTATGTTCTTCCATCCAGGCAGTTCATGTAAAACCTTGCATGGTTTAGTTAAGTGTATATTATACACTTTTATGCATTACTGCTGCACGTTTTATGCTGGATAAGACTGAAGCTTGGATATTATCCCAGTTATGGCTGGAGTCGAAACAAGTAATACTTCAATTAAATATACGGTTTTACACAAACGAACCTGAAATGTAATTCTGTTAACGAAATATTTCCCCAGATAGATTAGAAGACAGCATGCTATATCCATGGCATGTTACTGCAGATGGACTGTGTTAGGCTAAGGTGGTCTCAGAAGATCTATTTGATCATTTTATTACCTATGTTGATACACAAATATGGATGTTAGCCAAACATCTTAGCCAGGCTAATACTCTAATATAATTTACAGTATGTGTTTGGCTCCATTTTGCTCATTGAGTGAAAGTGTTGAAATGTAACAGATTGCATCAGCGTTTGGAGCGTTCTCTGCTCTCTGTACTTCTCTACAGGTGAGGAATTCTGTGGCTTTAAGAGCACACATGCTTAATTATGCATTAACCTCACTGTCCTAGTAGTCCAGAAAGCTCTGAGAGGTGGAAGCTTGGTGGGAATCATCTTCCCAACTAGGATCAAGCATCTCTGCTATTATAATCACGTAGATGGAGAAAAAAGCAGTGCTACTCAGTCAGTTCTGAACTGAGTCTCATGCTGGCAACCCTCAATTAGACCAATCATCCCACTGAGGTTATTGTCTGCTGAGCCTGCACAACAGCATTGGCCTTTCACTGGATTTACATACTGTTTGTTTGAATGTACCTCACTTAGTAAGAAGTTAACTTGAAGTTCAGCTTTTTTTGGTACCACCGTTCAGGCTATAATTGAAGAGTCCCCTTTGAAGGTCCATGACTGAATTCTCTGTGCTTAGGAGTGGAGACATTGTTTTGCCCTGTTGTGTGGAGGACCCTTGTCCTCCCTGCCTGGGCAGCCTGGCTGCTAAATGGGCAGGACAGGAGTCCTTTGCAGTCTCCCCTCCTCGCAGACTGTTCTTGCTCTTCCTTCTCCTTCCAGAGGCAGAAAGGCAGCAGGGGACAAATATTTCCTCCCTGCCCTGCTGTAGCAAGGCCTGTGACCATCTGATTAATGAAAGTATTTTTATGGTCCCATTGCTAGGGGTATCTGGACATGTCACAGTCTTTAATGTATGTATCTGTAAAGCACTGGTGTGAGGTAGGGAAATGATGTTATCCCTCTTTTTCTGATGGAGACCTGAAACTAATGACTTGCATGAGATCCCAGAGGAAGAGTGTTGCAGAGTATGGATTCCCATGTACATCTATCATATCTTAGGCTAGTACTGTAAGCATCAGACCATCCTCTCCATCTTTCACTCCAGCCTGAGGCAGGGGTTACTAGTGCTTTTTTAATAAAAAGAAGGAAACATAGCCTTTCAGACAATACATATTTACTGTGTATGTCAGATCATCTGCTGGTAAAAAGAAATAAAAGTGGATGAGAAAGATGTATAAAACATATTTTAATGGCAGATCTTTTAGATCATCGTTTCTCGTATACAAATGGTGTAATATTTATTCCAGGTGCTCATATGTGGTGTTGTATTTATAAAGATAATTGGAAAAGCATGTTCTGTGAGTAAGGGTAATAGACATGCAGTAGGTCCTTCAGGGCATAAGTAGTCTTAGGGGAGGTATATGTATATTATACACAATCAGCAGAACAGTTTCCATAGGAAAAAGCCTTTTGCTTAAGAAGCAAGTTAACTGCTTATCCGATGATGACTGGTTTTCAAAGTGTAATAAGTTGGCATGTATTTTTCTGTTTGA